CTACTATGAAGGGATAAAATATGACTCTAAAAATGAAAAATAAAAAAATTTTTTTTAAAAAAGGGATTGATAAGATGGTTGAAAAAGGGAAAAAGAAAAATTAAAAAAAAACAGTTAAAAAAATTAACTTTGATGAACTAATGAATCATGGTAAAAAAAAGTCATGAATTCTATGTGCAGTATTCCCCTAGCGCTGGAGTTCTCCCGATCTCTTTGATGGGTAAACTTGGTCTTGGCTTGCTGGCTGTTCGTGCTGATCTTCTGGGGGAGGGGCCTGTTGCCGTGGTTTCCAAACGTCTTTGCCGGAAGCTGAATTGCCCCACCCTTGTCGGTCGGGGTTAAGCGAGCTGCTCAGGTTTGCTCTCAGGAGCTTTTGTTCCCTGCAAGCTCTCGGTACAGCTTTGGAGGACCAGGGCGAAAATGGTGGCCTCCCAATCTCCACCCGGAGGAGATGAGAACTTGGGGCCCCGCTCCTCAGTGCGCCTCCAGAGAAAAGCAGTCACACCCGTCTCCCTGGTCTCCGGCCGCACTCCGTGCTCACCTGGCCTGTGACCGAGCGTTTCTATCTCTGGCACCCGACCCCGTGTGGAGTCTCCAAACCCAGCAGCTCCCTGCGGTGCGCTCCCGCGCCGCTCCTCCCCGGGGAGGAAGGGGAGTCTCCCCGGCTCTGCTGTTTGTTGGGTCCCTGCTGGAGGAGCAGTGGCCCGACTGGGCCGCGGATCACAGTTTATGGCAACCCCGAGCTGAGAGCCCACGCCTCGGCTCCGTCTCTGCAGCCGGCTTCCCCGCTCCGATACCTGGGAGCTCTGCCACACTCAGGCACCCCCGGTCTTTCTGTGACCCCAAGGGTCCTGAGACCACACTGTCCCGGGAGGATTCCACCCCCCGCTTAGCCACTGCAGCGACGTCCCTCAGCGGAGCCAAGTTCTAAAAGGTTCGATTTTGTGCTCCGCGGCTCTATCACTTGCCAGAAGCGGCCCACGGAGGTCCCCTCCCCCGCCGTCTATCTCCCCGAATATCGCCTCGGATTCACTTCTCCGCACATCCTACCTTCTAGTAAGTGGTCGCTTCTCTGTTCAGAGAGTTGTTGCTACTCCCCTCTTCAATCTCCTGTTGAGTTCGTAGGTGTTCAGAATGGTTTGATCCCTATTCAGCTGAATTACTGAGACCAGATGAAATCTAGGTCTCCTACTCCTCCGCCATCTTGCTCTGCCCCCCCATTTCTAGTAATATTTCATTTACCTTTTGACAGTATCACCCAGCTGAGACTAGTTCCGTCTGGTTTGCCTTGTTTAGCTGGACCTGCATTAGCTTAATCCTGCCAGGTTGATAGCTTGGCTGGCAGTTCTACATTTTTATATGGCCCTGCAGTTATGGCCGTCTTTGGGGAGAAAGGGTTACAAAACCCCCACAACTCTTTTGTGTGTATGTTAACTGAAGTTTTATAAGTTTTTGGTTAAGAAAAAGTTCCTTGTTAGAAGAAAAGACCTGTATCCTTTAGTTTCTCCCATATTACTTTTTTCCATGGCTTTTATCACATTTGCTACAACATCAGAAGAGTGATTTGCTAACCACGCTCACAATTACTATTTTAGTACATTACATTAAAGGGTATAACTGTCTAAAGAATCGTGCACACCGTTCCCAGTGAGTACACTTTTCCCTTTTGAGTTCAAAGCTTGCCCCTGCTACTCACTAGCTTTGAAGTCATGCACAGGTCCTTCAACCTTTCTGGTTCTCAGTTCCCTATCACTAAAATCAGAGGCTTAGAATCTCAGTGATTCTCATCTGAGGAGACACAACCTTAAGTGGAGCATATTAGAATCTTAAGGGCACAAAGGTGGCTTATGTAGCTTCTAAAAGACTAATCAATAGTATAATAATTGTCTGTTTATGAAAATCATAAAAATAGTTTTTATTATATAAGCCCAGTAGTAAAGCTGAACCTTCTTCTTGACTGGTGGGGCAGTGATTAACAAGGGTTTAATTATATTGAATTAAGTCATGAGGCCACTTGCAACTACATTTTTGCATTATATGATTCTGGAGAAGCAACCGATGAACAATAGACATGGAATCATAATTATATAGAAAGAGGACTAGCATACTTTCGATATCTCTGTCTTCCCTCTTTCACCCAATTTCCTGATCTACTTTGTGTCTGTATGGATTTGCCTATTTTGGACCTTTCATATAAATGGGATCACACAATATGTGGTCTTTGGTGTTTGGCTTCTTTCACTTAGCATGTTTTCAGGGTTCATCCATGTTATATGCTCAGTACTTCACTCCTTTTTATGACTGAATAAAATTCCATTGTATGGATTCATTAGCCAGTGGACATTTGGATCATTTCCACTTTTTGTCTATTATAAACAATGTTGTTCTGAACATTTGTGCTCAAGTCTTTGTGTGGACGTATGTTTTCATTTCCCAAGAGTATAATTGCTGGGTCATATGCCAACCTAAAATTTAACTTTTGGAAGAATTGCCCAACTGTTCTCCAAAGCTGCTGCACCATTTTATGGGGATCGTACAAAAGTTCCAATTTTTCCATATCCTCACCAACAATTACTATTGTGTGTGTTTTTATTATAGCCATCTTAATGAGTGTGAGGTGGTATTTGATTTACATTTCCCTAACACCTACTACATCATTAGTAATCTTGTCCTCATTGTTGCAATCATTGTACTATCAGCAGTCTTAGTTTATAACCTTGTTATCTATTGCTTGCGTGGAAAAAAAAATCTAATTTTTTCACATCAGTTGACAGTTTACAAGGCATTGTCATATCTGTTACCTCCTTTCGTTCCTATAAAAACATTGTGAAATAGGGTAGAGATTATTATCTTTCAGTTTATGAATGAAGAAACTGACCATAATAGAAGGATTTGTTCTAGGTCATACAACTGATAAATAGAGTAGCTCTTCTCTGTAGCTATGTCTTCCACTCCTCATCCCCGCCTCTGTCCCCCACATCATGTTGCCATGTTGAGGAATTTTAGGGTTCATGTTCAGGATGACTGAGACTCTTTCTTTTGCCTTACAATTGTAGACCTAGCAGGTTACAAGTTTATGATCTATGACTTCTACCATATTTAATATTAGCTGCCATCTGTTGACAGTTTTTTCATGAATTTTTACTAGCTCTCCAACTTTCCCTTATATTTGGATAAATCTCTTCCAGACCTTTCCAGCTCTCCCCCTGGGCCTTATGGTCAAGAAATGTATGTGTTTCGATCTGAGGAGAGATTCAAATCCCCACCCATCCTACCTCCTCACCTTCTTCAAGTTATTCTTAACAAGGACACTAATATTTCTGTGAGTATCCTGAGAGAATTGCTGGGGCATCTGGGTGTTACTAGGACCATTTGAGCCAAAGTTAGTAATCCTAGAGGTTGGGATTATTACAAAGCTGTGTTGAGAATGTAAATCATATACCTATCAATATCATTACAGATAACTTTTTCCAGGGCTGAGTTACTACTTTTCTAGGTACTGATATCAAAATTCATAGTTATCTTCTGGTCCTAATAAATTAGACCCAGAGCCATGGATTGCTAGAACCAATTTCTGGGACTTCAGTCCAACACAAGATAAGACCTACTTATCATTTGGGGATATTCAAAAGGACTATAAGGGGTTCTTGGTTTTTTATTTCCCATATAATTTACGTCTCTAGTCAATTCACCTGATTCCCACCAAGATTATTTTTGCCTCTTAACACAAATCTTCTGTATGTGTTGTGGTCAAGATTTTTGTTTTAGCTCTATTAAGGGAGATAAATAGATGCTAAGGCTTAGAGTTTCTGTCCTGGATTCAGAATTTTCCTAATTCTCTGTAATGAGAACATAAAGATTGCTATATACTAAGGTGAGTGTATTATTTTGAAAAAATACACATTCTAGTTTAGCATTTCTCAACAGATCCAAAGAGCTCTAAGGAAGAGTAAACTGTTTGGTTGAAAACTGTGCACTTAACCCCATTTAGTGATTTTTTTTTTCTTTCTTAGTGTGACCCAGCCTTGCTTCCTGAGCCCAATCATGTTATGCTGAACCATCTCTATGCATTATCCATTAAGGTAAGTGGTGGGCCTGGCTCTTCCCCAAAATGGGAGGGCAGGGGTAACACGTGGTTTCTTGCCCTGCCACCTCATTGAGGCTAAAGCTGGCCATAACGATCAAATTATAGGAGAAGAACTTCCTTTTTTTTAACTATAGGTGGGTTTTTTGTTTGTTTGTTTGTTTGTTTGTTTGTTTGTTTTTAATCTTAGTCCCTATTCCTGTGTTCTGGCTAGCTGAATTGGCCTGTCATTAAATGACTTTTCCGCTTCCTGGTTTCTTTTGGATAGCTATAACCTTTGTACCACCTACTTAATTGAATTGGAGTTCACACCACTATGATTTCATCTGCAGGCAAAGCAAGTTTATCTTCTAGTTCAGAGAATGCTTGAATGTGATTAAGGATTTTGCTTTTTAAAGGTGAACGGGAGCTGCTTTTGAGTGCTTCGGTCATATACACCCACTGGTTGCATCTCTCCACTACACTAGGTAAAGGAGAAATGTGACCAGATATGCTCTGCCCCCTCCAATTCTAGAGTCCTTAGTTTCTCTGCTGCATTAGAGTCTGGGTTGAAAATACCCTTTCAGTCTTGTCATGTCTTTGTGGTTTGGCTATTGGAATGAAGTTGTATATGGCTCTGTAGTTACGGACTAGGCTGATCATCAGAATCACTTGGGGAAATTTGTAAAAATACAGTTTCAAAGCCTCCATCCCCAGAGATTCTGAATAAGTGCATCTAGGATGGACCCCCAGTAATTGTTTTTTAAGCTGCTTCTAGATGTGCAGCCACATTAGGGAAATCACTGACACAGCTACCTTTAACAGATTATGTCATACTTTAAAAATATATATTATTGAATTTAATTTTAACCCCTGTTTTATAGATAAAGAAACTAAGGCTCAGAGAAGGTCATAATGCCAGTAAGTACCAGAGAGAGGGCGGAGGTCCTCCTGTCCTCATTCCATGTTATTTCCTAGAGATCACAGCGCCAGGTCTTCCCAAGTAGATTTTTCTCTCACCTGCTCCTCGTTTCTACCAAACCCTTCCTGGCGCTGAATTTTTTACCTTCCTAGCTTCTGTCATATTTAGGCTATGATCAGCATACTCTGGTCACAGAATGTTAATCTGAGAAGCATTCATTGTAAATAACACAGCATATGGGAAAAAGGGAAGCACTGGTTTCTCAGTTGGATTTGCTTGGGTTCTTTGGATCAGACTGAATTTTGCCTCCTGTAACTGCTCCTTGGCTATCAACTGATGCTCATGGGCCTACCATCTCCTCCTATGGCATACCCTTGAGCTGTAACACAACCAGGGAAAGAGTACCTCTTCCTTGTCATATTGGTTCTAACCCAGATCAGGGTCTTGATTACTGCGATTCAGCTTGGCCTTGACCCACTCCTGGTTCTGTCAGATTGTTTAGGCTGTTTGGAGTTGATCCATTAGATTGAGTGTCTTTCCAAGGAAGATTTTGGGGTCTACTTTGTTCAAGGATAGAGAGGGATTCCTGAGTCTCCTCTTGATTAGAATGAACTTTTTAAGTTCATCCCTGACATTAAATCTAAATTAGCCCTGCTTTGGGGCTTGGAAATGGGGGAAAAAAAAATCACCCTCCTTTCTTCTCACTGCATTTTAGACTTTCTTCTAAAAATTAATGTCAGTGGGCGCCTGGGTGGCTCAGTCGTTAAGCATCTGCCTTTGGCTCAGGTCATGTTCCCAGGGTCCTGAGATCAAGCCCCGCATCGGGCTCCCTGCTCAGTGGGAAGCCTGCTTCTCCCTCTCCCCCTGCTGTGTTCCCTCTCTTGCTGTCTCTCTCTCTGTCAAATAAATAAAGAAAACCTTTAAAAAAAAAAAAAAAGAATGTCAGGATATTTTTTTTCCATGCTAGTTTTAAACCCAATATTCACATTTGAGGTGGGGAAAGGAGTAAGATGGTAGGAAACTACTATTTCTTCAGCATCTATTATGTCTCAGATATTCTCATATAATCATCAGAACCATCTTCATGGGGTAGGTGTTATCCTTTGTCATGATGAGAAAAAAGGCTTAGAGGCATCAAGTAGATTACTCAGGCCACAAATAGAGTAACAGTAGGAGTCAGGATTGGAATTTAAGTTGAATTGAACCAGCCTGTTTATATAATATCTACTATCTCTGTTAAAAGTGAGCGACTGTGAAGGACTGATGGCTGGAAGAGCCACCTATCGTCTGAACTAATGAATTAGTTGCATGTTTCTTTCCCTTGCAGGACAGTGTGATGGTCCTTAGCGCAACCCATCGCTACAAGAAGAAGTATGTCACTACTCTGCTGTATAAGCCCATCTGAAGGGATCCCTTCCTGCCTCCCAGGATTTAAGAGAAGTATCTCCCTTGCCTTTCTGGACTGGACCAGTCTTAACCTAAGACTGGAAGGCTAATTTGCTTTGAGGCTGATATGTGTGCTTCAGAGTCTTTGAGTAGGATGCTCTGCTTTTGCATTTGATTGCAGATGGGAGCTTTATGAGTTCATGGAATTTACTTTAAGAAAAAAAATTGTATATATGTGTGTGTGTATGTGTGTGTGCATACACACACATACACACACACATACACATATACACATATATGAGAGAAAGGTTAATGGAAGCCTCCTAGCTAGATGTGTTCTCTGCTTGTGGGGCCTCACCAAGACCAGTTTGAGGGAGCTGCAGGAAGAACCATTACAGGAAGCTTTTTTCCTAAAATGGATGAAGAGCCAACTCTCAGGATCCTTATTGGGTAGAGATTCTACCACTGCTACATTGGCTCTCCAAGGGATGGGCTTGTGCCAGACTTCTGCCCTACTTACAGTTGCCTCCCTGCAGGGGCAGCTTTTCTTGCATGGGTTCTCTGTATTCCTAGAGTATGTGGCACAGTCTGTGCTTTTTATGACACCAGATGCCCCACAAGAACCCTTTCTCTTCTCATTTCACATTCTTGCTTTGATAACCTCCTTCAGTTCCTATACCTGACCCATCCCTAACACAAAACTCACTGGCAAGTGACCCTTTCAAAGGCTATGTGGGACCTGACCCACTAACAAAGACGGGGGCTGCCAGAAAGTCTCCTTTTCAGCCCAGCACAGGCCCAGGCCACTTTGTTACCACTAGTTTTCACTTCTACTAAAGAAAATAGGTCTCAGCATTATAAGAAGGGCAGAGTGCAGAAGGTCTACTTTCTCGTTTGTGTTTAGTGCCACAGCTTAGGCTGTCTCGGCATATTCCCATAGGTTTTCCCAGCTGGCCTGGCCCTGCTTCCGTATTTTCTTTTGCAGAGCAGACAGCTTTGAAGGTAGGAGTGGAACCAGGGAAAACTTTAATGTCCTTCTTCTTTGGGAGACTTTTATGTGCCTACATTATTCTTTAATTAAAAAATGCTTTTTCATTGTTCTTAAGAGACTGAATAGGAAAATTTTAAGCTCTTGATAAATGGTTCCCAAGATTTTCTTCAACAAGTATTCTAGCCCTCTATGGTCTTATATTAATGTGGCCAACCCTGTGCACATCACTACACTAAATACTGTTCTAGAAACAAATTCAGGTTCATTGGGTGCGCCTAAAAAGTTCCTTCAACTTAAAGACTCAGTAAGCCAAGAAGCAAGAAAATATCCCTGGGGTTCCTAACCATGAATAGTATTGCTTCCCTGCACCATGTACAAACAGGACCGTTTTGTTTCTCTCTTTTTTAAAAGTGTTCAGTGAAGAAGTGGGGTCAATGATTCTCATTTGTGGGAATGAAAAGGAGCTATCCAATCCACTCGTGGGGTTCAGAGATAAAACATATTTTTCCAAGTATCTGTGGCTCTTCCATTAAGGATAAATGCAAGTCAAAACATTCAACACTGAAGGAGGCCAAACTTGATGCTTGAGAGACGCCTTGACTGTCAGGATGTGCCCAGCCACACTGAAAGGGCACCCATAGGTCAGTTTAGCTACCTCCTGTCTTTCCTGTTCAAAGCTGATGACACAGTTGTCTTTGGGTATGTAGACCTCAGATCCTGGGAGTGAGGCAGTAGGGCATTGGGGTGGTTTTGCTGGGAATGCAAATTGCTAAGTGCTTTGGTGGTTACTTGCTGAGAGTGAATACTGCTTTAGCCACTCAAGGCCCCCTTCTGCAGCAAAAAGCTTTTGTGGGAAACCTTTTATGGTCCCAACCACTTTCTGAGTGGTGTGTCACTTAAAAAATCCAGGCCAAATCCTATTATAACCAACTCTCAGGCTCTACATTGTCTTCAGTTATACTGTTGTTTTTTCCAGTACCCATTAAATAAGTGGGCCACATAGGAGGATTCAAATTCTTGTTTGTTATTGGAGGATTTTGTTACACTACTATTTCTTATCAACAGTACTGAAGTGTAATTACCTATATGTTTGTGTATTAAAAATTTTACACAGATGTATCAGTAGAGTGGGGCAAGAAAAGAGATTCCTTCAGTTTCTCAGGCCAGTGGCCTCTGTGGACTAGCTTTGGCTCCAGTGACACTAAGTTTGGTGCTGGTGGCCTTCAGATCTTCCTAATCTGGGTGTGTGCAGAAAGTGTCCGTTTCCTACGTTCTTAGGTAATCCCAGCCAAATGTGAACTGAGAGCGGACCGGCTGGTATGGAAAAGGACAGGCACGGGGAACTGGGTGATAGCTCCTTCCGCACCGCTCCTTCTCTGCGCTGCTAATACACCCCATGGCCCTGAGAAGCCTATCACACACAAGCTATCCCCAAGAAGCTGTTCTAGAAGGGAGAGAGGGAAAGAGGAAGGTAGCCCAGCGTACAGCCCACTCATTCTTTTATGCTGGTTAAAGGGATAGTTATTTTCTGTAGAAGAGCTTGGCAGATTTTGAAAATGAATAAAGGCAGAAAAAAAAAAACCCACTTTTAGCTTTTAAAAAAACATGGCTGTTTTTGTTTGTTGTTTTTTGGGGGCTTTTTTTTTTCGCTTCTAGGAGTTTCACAGAGTCAAAGTTAGAAAAGTTAGAAAATCACTCTTTAGGAGTGCTAACCCTTCAAGAACTGCATCATGGTTTGGGGGTTGTGGGGAAAGGGAAGAGTGGCTGAGCTGAGGAGGATACAAATTAAAGGCTTAAGTAACTCAGAACTAAAAATAGCCTTTTTGTTGTGGTTGTTAATTAAATGAGACATAATATACTGGTATCCTTTGGATCTCAACGTACAGAACCTACTCTATAAAACATCCCTTTGTCTCTTGTTCCTTTTCTCTATCCTTTCTTTTATATTCTACTTTACCTTCATTTGTCAAGCTGACATTACCAGAGCCTCGGGTCAAATATTACCTAAAACAAATATTAGTCATCTTGCTGGTCTGGTCATGGTGATTAGCTTGCATTAAGCTTTCGGTCACTGTAGGTAAAACCCCCTATGAGCATACCTGGCCTCAAGTGTGTTGGCTTTTTTTTTTTTTTTAAACAATGCTAATATGGTAGAGAAACCCTGTAAAAGAAGAGTCCAAGAGAAGATTCTGAGGGGATCATACAAACCCAGGCCTCCAATTATTTCTTGTCTCTTATTGACCTAATGGATCTGAGATAAAACCTTTTTTGCAAAGTGTCAGTACTCCGTGTATGCTGCTAAAATGAAGTTAAGTTTAGAAAGAAGTGTTACCTCCAGAGTGTGCTTATATTAATCTGGGTATAAATGAAGGAGACATACTAATGATAGAATTCCCCTGCTTCTAATTGGGGAAATAGGGCTTTTAAAATTTTAACCTCAACTAAAAATGATATGCAATAGTCTATGTTATATGTGTTTGAAAAATATTCTATTCTCAGAGATTTCTGAGTCCTCATGTTCTAGTGATTTGGGGCATAGGCTTACAAGCAGATACACAGTTTGTTCACATGTTATTCTGACTCATCAATAAAACCAAGTCCCTGCTGTCTTCTACCAGGGACTGCTAGCTCCAGTTACCCATGGAATAGAGCACCTGGAAGGGCTAGGGGTCAGGAAGACTCTGGATCCTAGGCATTTGTCTTTCCTTAAGCGCCCATCACAGTGGAAGGTTGAAGGGCTATTATTTCTGCAGTGAACCCAAACTTCTGGAGTAAAAAGGCCAACTCTGTTTTTTAAACTATAAGAAGAAAGAAAGAGAAGTCTCAAGAGTCTGTTACTTATGAAATCCAATTCTTAGCAATGGAATCCCTCTAGAATTCAAATGTGGACTTTGTCTTGATTTGCTTTTCTCTATTGTGCTTTGAAGTGATTAAGTTTCATTAACAATTAAATTTTTTATTAGTTCCAACATTAGTTGAACTAATTGCATTGTAGCACAGTGCTTTCGCAGTAAGATTGCTGTGAAATGCCACTCTGTGGATTTTGTAGTCAAGTTAAATGGTCAAGGGATACCTACCTACCATAAGTATTATATTATGTATTTGATCATCTTCTTTTCTGTTCCCATCCACAGAACGCTTACCTTACCTAGGCTGTGGTTTTAGAACAGCCAAAGCTCACTGATGTCCATTAGTCCTAATCTCCACACTGGGCCGCATATGTGAGACTTGTTTGAATTTTGATAAATTGAAGGATGCTTGTTGTTATTTCACTGAAGCATTTTGAATGAATGCAGCTCTGTCATAGAGGGGGAATAAGACTATAATTTGGAAGAGAATTAAATATGTGAGTCCTCCTTTAAAGGGTGCTTTTTGTAACCTTTAGTGCTGAGGTACGGGGCTGCTTTTTGGTATTCCACAAGGGATTGGCATGCAAGAATAGATTTTAAAGTTTTTCCCCAAATGTAATTTGTCACTGGCCTTTGACATGTCTGAAAATTATGTGATGTTACATATACAGAAATGTGAGGTTTTTCCCATAAAACTGTTGAATAAAAGTATTATACAGCAATAATATTTGAGTTCTTTATTGGTCACTGATTATATTATAAAGATCTGCCTGCTTTGGTCGTCTCAGAACCTAAAGAATGCAAACCGCCACGCAAACACATTTGAATTAAAGAAGTTGTAGGTGTAGGACACAAGTGATGTCATCCAACCACCTGCCACTTTTCCTCTTTTCCAGGCTATGCCATCATTAACTAGAGGAATGCGAACTCAATGATTTGAAATTTGGCACATTCTGTAAATCTGCATACTTAACTGTTATCCTGTGCTAGATTTGCTGAGGCCCTAGACTAAGGGTTTTCACCCATCTGTACATTCATACCACCTACGCAGTTTCTATAAAAATATGCCCCATCTATTACCTCCATCCCTAATTAAATGAAAATCTCTGGTATGGGACCCAGGCATCTGTATTAGAGTCCCCAGATGATTCTAATGCACATCCAAGGATGCGGATCCTCCCTACTTATTCTTACTGTCGGAGAGATACTTCATTATACATGAAGGCAGATTATGTGCTTCATTCTGACAGCAAATCACTCTCCTCAAATGGCTTTGCTCATGATGGTAACAGGATAATTTTTGTCTTCCATCCCTTTATTTCACAGGGTTCTTACATAATTGACCTCTGGACTTCTCCTAAAACAACACATCCAGGCTCCCCTATATTTGCCACTCTATAGCATCTAAAGTGAGTTAAATTTCCTTAAGGGAAACAGAATGACACTGGGAGTGACTGGGAGAGAGGGTGAAAAGAGTAGGGGAGGTGATGAGAGAAGTGAAGGGGTGAAGTGGGGCAGGTGATGAAGACCAGTAATTGCAGAAACAGAACAAAAGTTAACCTCAACCCCCAGTAGCAGGTCAAGAGACTAATTGCAGACAAGGCACAGTGTCAGATTTGATGTGGACTCAGCCTCTGACAGAATGCTCTCAACATCATGCTCCATGGTCGCTAAAACAGCATGGCACCAGAATTCTGTCAAGGCCCAAACTTGTATCGGTGTGCTTCCTAAAGCATTTCTCTCTGGCCCACCTGTCTGGGGGTCTTGTATTCCCTTCCAGAGCCCTCTCGTCCTCTGCACCAACAGTTACTCATAACACATCGTTGTTCAAAGACATCATGAACCTGTCCTCCTCCCCCCCCCGCCGCCCCGGCTTACGTGGCCAGGGTTCATCCAGCAGCACATTTGCAAGTCTGGAGTACCTCCTCTCCCTAAACCGATTCCTTGGCTCCAGTGCTCTTACACTGGCTAAAGATGAATTTCTCCATGCTCTCCTACCAATTAGAATTCTTTCAGGCATTCAGTTGTGCTCCAAAGGAGACTTCTGTCTTGAGAGTTTTCTCTTTTCATTGACTTCCTAGGGAGGAAGGCAAGGTTCCTCCTTGTCAGAGGTCAGAAGACCTAAGGTCCATATGATGTATGATATGTTTAAACCAAAAGTAGGTTTTCACAAATTTCTCTACTACTTATGAACTGGATACCCTTCACTACAGCTTCCAAAGCCCACCTGCTAGTGATAGATCATGATAAGAACATCAGGTAAGAATACTGAGCACCTGAAAGAACCACCAAGATTCCTGCAGACCTGTGTATCTGGATCTTGGCGGAAGCCTTAACCCCAGGCTTACTGTTTCCTCAAAACTATGACCTATACCCTAGCTTAGTTCTTGTTTTCAGGGATCTTTGTTATAGATTACAATAGTTCTGGGTCACAATTAGAAGTTAGGTGTTGAGATAGGGAGTGGGATGGGTGTTGCATTCAATTGGATCTCAGAAAATATTTTTGATTTCTAGCCCTCCCAGACACTGTTTTGTCCACAAATGGAAAAATTTCTGCCAACCCGAAGATGGTGATTCTTTTTCTCCCCCAATTAGCAGATTTGGTTCATAGGTCGTCTGGAAGAGGACCTAGAGTTAGGATATCTGCAGACAGAGTAGGGGAATTTGACAATCCAGGGATCTACCAGATAAAGAGCCAGTCTGAGCTCAGAATTTTTAGCTATAATAGAGACCTGTAGCAGCAACCAGGTCTAGATGAACTCAGGTTCATGAAATAAGGTAGAACTGTCCAAGTGAACTGAGATTGCTAGTCATTTTATTTCCTGTAGTCATTTGCTGATTCTGCGCATGGAATGAAGACAGCTTTGCCCAGGCAGAGGGTAACTGAGGGGGTAAAGTAACACCAACAAAGCTCTTGGTGACACGTGGTGATAAAGGGAGGGCTTGAAAACTTGCGGGGCTTCAGATGCATGGTTAGTTTTCCCCAAAGGGTACTTACTGAGGTCTGAACTTGCATGGAATGCTTAAGAGCTAGCACAAAAGGCTTATAAAAGGTAGAGTGAAATCTCCCAAAGTCTGATGGTGCTGGAGTGATAAAGACAAATTATAGCAAGGGGGCTTTACTGAAGCACATGGTCCCAAAACATTTGTCAAGTATTGGAGTGATGTGGAGGTGGGACACAAAAGAACTATAATAAAAACTCTTGAAAGGCCAAATGGTTTCCCAATAACTGCATATGAAAACAAAACTCAAGAATACCTATAGGAATACGGGGCTCCTGGGTGGCTCAGTCAGTTAAGCATCTGCCTTCAGCTCAAGTCATGATCTCAGGGTCCTGGGATCAAGCCCCACTTTGGACTCCCTGCTCAACAGGGAGTCTACTTCTCTCTCTCCCTCTGCCCCCCTCACCACTCATACACACTCTTGTGCATGCTAGCTCTCTCTCTCTCAAATAAATAAAATCTTTAGGAAAAAAAATACCTACAGGAATACAAAAATATGCAGCAATCAACAAGGTGAACAGTCACAATATTTGATATCTAATCAAAAATTACCAGGAGACTTTTGTTTCTGGTCAAAATGAAATAACAGGGATTAGATTTACCCTCCCACCTAAAACAACTAACCATCCAGACAAAATATATGAAACAGTGGTTTTCAGGGAAACCAAGCAGTAAAGAATAGTGATCCCTGAAATATGGGAAACAAATGAAGTGAGCCCTTTAATTGACTAAGCTGACTTCATTGAGAATTTCCAGCCTGCTGAACTGCCTGAGTTGAGGACACAGAGCTAAGAGTCTTCAGAATCCAACACTGCTAGAAGCACAGGATGGAGTACTAAGGAGGAGAAAGCTACACACACATAGAACTTAATTGGCAGAGGGTTCCCTTGTGTATTCAGCAGAGTACTGACCAATGCATATGAGAAAAGACACTTTCTGAGCCTAGGTAAAGAACCACCAGAAAGAATAAAGAGAATAATACCCAGACCTCACACAGGGCCAGGAATAGTCTCTGTTCCTACCCGCCTGGTAAACCTCTTTATTCATGAAATAATGAGTACAGTACTCAGAGGAGTCTTGCCTTCGTTGTGGGGAACAATTAGCCCCAAACAAAATGCTTGTGATAGGCAGAATAATGGCCCTCCAATGATGTCTTTGTCCTAATTTCCAGAATCTATGAATATGTTGGATTACATGCCAAAGGGGAACTAAGACTGCAGATGGAATTAAGGTTGCTAATCAGTTGACCCTAAGATGGTGGGTTAACTCTGGATTATTAAGGTGGATGGACCCAATCTAATAAGTGAAAGAGGGAGGTCAGAGTGATACAATCTGAAAAGGACTTGACCTGTTCTTGCTGGTTTTGAAGATAGAAAAAGAAGACCATAAGTCAAGGAATATGGGTAACCTCTAAGAGCTAGAGAAGACAAGGAAATGGATTCTCCCATGGAGACTCCAGAAAAAAAAAAAAAAAGAAAGAAAAAAAAGAAAACATAGACATCTTTATTTTAGCCCAGTGAGGCCCATTTTGGACTTATGAACTACAGAACTGTAAACTAATAAATTTGTGTTGTTTTAAGACACTAAGTTTGTTGTAATTTGTCACAGCAGCAATAGGAAGCTAATACAACACTGCTATTGTCTCACCTAACATCTCAAACATAAGATCAAACTGTTTCCAAGTAATTTAACTGCATCCCGTAACAAAGCTAAAGAACATTTACCAAAAAAAGGAAATATCCTGTACCAATCAAGACAAAACTTACAATGTCTTGCATCCAAATTTAAAAATGTAAGCTAGGGGCGCCTGGGTGGCTCAGATGGTTAAGCATCTGCCTTCAGCTCAGGTCATGATCCCAGGGTCCTGGGATCGAGCCCCATGTCTGGCTCCTGGCTCGGCTGGGAGCCTGCTTCTCCCTCTCCCTCTGCCTCTCTCCTGCTCATGCTCTCTCTCTCTCTCTGTATCTCTCTGTCTCAAATGAATAAATAAAATCTTAAAAAAAATGTAAGCTATTCAGAGAAACAGGTCAATCAAACCATAATGAGAAAAAAAAATCAATCCATTCAAATTGAGTCAGAATTGACACAAGAGGTTAGAAATAACAGACAATGAACAGTGGAACAATTATTATAACTTTATATTCCATATGTTCAAAGACCTAGAAAAAAGACAGAACATTTTTGTAAAGATTTATTTATTTATTTTAGAGAGAGAGCACACGAGAGTGGGGGGAGGGGTGGAGGGAGAGAATCTCAAGCCGACTTCTCACTGAGCACCGAGCCCAAGGGGCTTGGTCCCACGACCCTGAGATCATGATCTGAGCTGAAATTAAGTGTTGGATGCTTAACCGACTGAGCCACCTAGGCGCCCCAGAACATCTTAAGTAGAGACATATCAGATAGGATATTGAACTTTAGAGATGAAAACTATAAATCATGAGAGGAAAAACACACTGGATGGAATAAGCATTAGATTAGACACTGCAAAAGAAAGATCAAACCTGAAGACATAAAAATAGAAACTACACAAAATAAAGCAGGATGAAAAAAGACTTGTAAAAATGAATAGCACATCAGTGAATTACGGGAAAACTTTAAGTGACATAACAGAGTAGACAAAAGAGGTAATAGGAACAGAACAAATATTTGAAGAAATAGTGACAATTTCCCCCAAATTTGATTAAAACCATAAAGCCACAGATCCAAATAGCTCAAT